TGCACCTCCAGGTTCTGCTTCTCTTCTGGATTCTGGTAGTGGTCTCCGTTTGTCCACCAGATGTGTCGTTTGTCCAGAAAATGGGTTTGAAGTTTCGGGTTCACTAGTTTTCGACCCAAACTGAACCCCTTCGACTTCCAATCCGATTTTCATGTTGTTTAAACACTTTATACCACCAGCCTAAGCTCTGATACCATTTGTAGAGTTTATAATGTAGTGAACAATAGATTATTACAATTACAATGTGGAAAACATAAACTCATAAAGAGTAAAAATCGAACCAAGGTACTCAAGCTTGTTCCATCACCATCAATGGAGTGTCTAAAGACGTTGAGCTCAGATTTTTGCCACACCGGATCATGCACCGTCGTCCACGGGAATGGCAATGGATATACCGAGAATAACTCCGCCGGAAGCCACCAAGAATTTTGCCGGATATAAGAACTCCTACTTGGTTACCTCTCTTTGCTTACTCTCTTTCACTTATGCCAAATAACCCCAAAGTGAGAAGATGAAGATGTCTAGTATATTATAGAGCCAAATACCAATTGAATTCAAAAATTCAAATTCAAATGTTGTACCATGAAAGAGAATTGTCTAGCTTGTGTAATTGACGACAAGATTAAATCCAACCATTGGATTTAATCTATGGTCCATATTACATCTCAACTAGCACAATCCTTTCAAGGTGCTCTAGACCAATATCCATGTGCCATGTGGATTAAGTGATCCACCCCACAACCTTAAATGCCTTTCCCGTGGCTTCATCCTGTATCGATCTGCAGTGCTCTGTAATGGTGGTGGCAGTGCGTTTGTGTTAGGTTGGGTTGTATTTGTGGTGGCGACGGTGCTTTTGTGTTATGTTGTTGAGCTGTGTTGGTGGTGATGACATTTGAGGTGATTTTTGTCGTAGTTTTTGAGGTGGTTCCGTGGTGGTGATGGTCACATGTGGTGCGCATGACACTCGCAATCTGGTGCGGGGTGTTTGGTGATGCTGCAATCTGACAGCGATGATTGTGCCCGAGTTTGGTGTGTGGTGGTGTTGTGGTTACGTTGGCGGTGGTTTTATATTGCTGTGATGGTGATTTTGCACGGTCTGGTTAAGGTGGTGGTTATGGTGGTCGTGGGTGGATGAGATGGTGTTTGTACCAATAAATTGGTTGATTGTGACCAATAAATTGGTTCATTTGTGATCAATGAATAATATGACCTAAAAATGTGATCACGATTCATAATTTATTAAGTTGTGACGGAGAAATTAATTGTGATAAATTAATTTGATAATTTGTGATCGATAAATGAGTTGTGGCCTATAAAAATTTTAATTTTGTGATTGATGAATAAATTATGACTTCTAAAAAATTTTATTTGTGATGGAGAAATAATTTATGACCAATTAAATTCTTGATTTGTGACCTATAAAACTTTTTATTTGTGATTAAAAAATAATTTGTAATCAATTAATTTGATAATTTGTGATCAAATTGTATGGATTTATGACCTTAATATATTTTTTAATTAATTATTTCATAAATAAATTTTATAACATCTGATTTTCAACTTTTAAACCTTTTTATCTTAATTTTGAAATTACTCATAGTTAAACTCTTAGATATGAGTGTTGTTTATGACAATTCCACCACTCAAAAATCACCCCATACTCCCTGCAGGCCCCTTGAATCTTCAAAAGATAAGGCATAAAACAAAATAAAAACCACCACCACTCATCCAACTCAGTTCACCAAGTTATTTCAAGAAACCTGTTCTGATCTCAGAGGTGCACAAAAATGCAAACTCTAAGGCTTAATCTCCATTTCAAGCATCCAAATCTAAGCACTCCAACTGCAAATCTTCCATCTGTCGTTCCAATCAAATCCAAATCACAGGTTAAATACCCATCAAAAAATGTATGCTCATCACATATTCCAAAAACTACAAGCATCCCCAGACAAAGAATTAGTACTCCCAGAAATTCAAGCCATTTTCAAAATTCCCACAAGCTAGAAAATTTCTCAAAAGAAAAGTTTTTCCCTGAGAGCTCAGAAGGGTACTCAAAACTTGTAATTTTGGGGACAGTTTCTGTAGGACTTGCTATTTTTCTTATGGGAATTGATGAGCACAAGGCTTTGGCTTTGGGGCCCGAAGGGCCATTGATGGAAGATTTTTGGGACAACATGAGGAGATATGCATTGTATGCTTTAACAGTAAGTACTGGAGTTATATACACTGTTTTTCAGCCTATTGTGGAGTTGTTGAGGAATCCCATTTCTGCAATTCTTGTCTTGACAATAATTGGAGGAGGCATTTTCATTGTTTCCCAGGTTGTATCTGCCATGGTTGGTTTGTCTGATTTTTCTTATGATTATAGCTATTAGAATCATTCAGATGGGGACTTTTGGTTTTGTATTTTTAGTTCCAATGTTGGATCCTTTTCATATTTATATATGAATATTACCAGTAATTGAGTGCTCCTCTACATAGACTTGTTGGTATTAATACGAATCTCATATTTATCTATTTCTTTGAAGTTCACGTCATCACATGCATAAATTATTTGCGACACAATGGATTTCTTTTATATTTTTAAGTGGAATGATGAGTTTAATTCATATTTCTTATTGGTATAATCCATGTAGAAGGTTTTTCATTAGAATTATAAAAGGAATAATTTGTGTCGAAATCATTTAAATTGATGTATCTTATCTTGTTGATACCCATCCCCTTTTCACATAAAATGGAGAGATGAATCGGTGTATCTATCGAGAAATAAGGAGGGATACAATTAGACAGATGATTTAACAGAGCAGGAGCGGCCGTAATCCGCTCGAAATTTATTGATTTATTTAAATTCACCAAATGTTACATTTGAATGCATTCCAACCGGACAATCGTTCAAAATTTGATCAAAAGAAACTGGCATTCATATAACAAAACATTCTACGAAGTACCACGTTAATAAAAAATATACTGGGATAATATTATTTTCTTTCCCTGAACTTTCGTTGAAATCTCCGCTAGTAATTTGTTTCGAATTTGTCAGTCTGATTAACTTTTATTGACTCTTTATTTAAAAAAAGAAAAGAACTTTAGTTTAGTTTCAGTGTTACTTTGTTAGTTCCATTACTAAAATTTGTTGGATAAATGTTGGTGCTTACCCCCAAATAATGTAGCTCCAATGGTGGCCAACAGATTCCAATGCCTCGTCCACTCAAGCCTCATTCCTACACACTTGGACAAATCGTTAGCCACAGATGGTCTCCTCTGGTAGGGGTGGATCATACTCCAACAGTTAAATCAGTTGGAGAAGAAAATATATGAGCGTGGGAAGACTTTACACATGAGTATCTAATATAAAAAAAGGTCGGCCTTGGGGAGTTATAAATAAAACAGTGATATGACAAAGTTATAGTTTGAGACTCTAAACTTGCATTACCTTCAAATGACACTAAGTGTGAGCTTTTATACTATAAGAAAATGAATGAGGGTAATTGGATGAAGAGACACGTGGCTTCATCCAAGTGACTGATGCCTCTAATCTTAGACATCAATAAATCATAAGTCTTGAAATGCTAGTATCACTTTAGCATCCATAATGTCTAACTTGCGGCTTCAAACTTGATCGGATAGGTAAAGTGGTGTCAATGGGCCGAGCTGAGCCGGCTCGGCCCATTG